AGGGTCCAGTCTACCATTGGGGAAGGCATGGCAGCAGGAGCTTCCTCACATCTTGTGGATGAGGGACAGGCGCTCAGCTGGCTTTCACCCATTTTTATCCAGGCCAGGTCCCCCAGCGGATGGGGTGGTTCAGCCTGCATTCAAAGTGGTTCTCCTGGCTCAGAGCAGTCCTCTCCTTAAAAGCTATCAGAACTCCCCCGCCCTCCCCTGTCCCTCCACACACATACACAAAGGTGTGTCGTCTCATGTACGTTCTATATGTTTACCAATCCAATCAAGTTGATAATCAAAATTACCCAAGGTAAAAGTCTTAGAGGAGTGTAAATGGGTAGGGAAGGAGCCAGAGCAAGGCCTCTGGGTGTTCAGTGAAAAATGCCAGTTATGCGTCACAACAGGAGAAAGATATTAAGTGATAACCATATATAATACAGAATATCAGACTAGGTAATGCGCACCTTTAATCCCAGCACTCGAGAGGCAGAGGCAGGTAGATAGCTGTGAGTTTGAGAACAGCCTGGTCTACATAGCGAGTTTCAGGCCAGCCAGAGCTGTACAGTTAAGACTCAGCCTCAAAAACAAAACAAAAGCAATACAGAAACCTCATTTTACCAGTAGCTTAAATTTTATCCCCATCACATCTTTGGACCAAGATTCCCACCCCTTTGTGTGTAGATGCTTGTGTGTTTGCATGGGTGTACATGTGTGTGTGCATGTGTGTGTGGTAGCCAAAGTCCACATCGAGTGTCTTCCTCGGTAGCTCTCTTCCTCTTTTTCTTTTTCTGAGACAGGGTTTCTCACCAAGCTTGGAGCTCACTGAGTGGGCCAGACTGTCTAGTCAGCAATCCCCAGGAATCCCCACCTCCACCAGCAGTGCTGGAATGGAAGATGTATGTTGTACCAGTTTATGTGATGTCTCTCGTTGAATAGCTCAGGTGTGGGTCCTCACATGTGTGTGTGTCTGTGGCAAGCACTGTAACCCTGAGCCATCTCTCCAGCCCTGAAGATACTCACTCTTGCTTTTTAAAAAAAGGTTCATTTTAGTTTTTATGTAGGTGTATGTAGGTGTATGTATGTCTCTGTGTCAGTGTGTATACACACACATGGATCCCATGAAGTTTGATATAAGTACAAGTACTTATAACTGTATGTAGATGATGGGAACAAAACTCAGGTCCTCTGCAAGAGCAGCAAGCACTCTTCACTGCTGAGCCATCCTCAGCCCCAATTCCTCTTCTTTTTTGGTTTCTCTCCCAATATCCAGGTTCATCAAAAATCAAGTTGGCTGAAAATAATGGACAAGAAATTACTCAATATCAAACAGTCCACAATGGAAGTTAACTCCAACTGGTTCCTTTTGAAAAGGGCGTAAATTGATGTAGCAAGTTTATTTGCTTTGCATTTCTGAATATTAACTATCAATCGTGTTTAATTCCAGTTCTGTGAGGCTTGCAACCTTGGCAGTTCTTTGGGCAGTCTTCAGTGTGATCATTGCTGGAGTTGTAGTCAAAAGGGCACAAAGTGCTGGGAGGGACAGGTAGCCCTTTGACAGCATCAGCAGTGGGTGCTGCCTGTGAGTCAAGGCTCCTTGGTCCTTCTTCATCAGGTTTCCATCCTCCAACAAGTGATACAGGACAGAAATTGGTATCAGGGTCCCAGGAAAGCATGAATGGGAACTGTGAAGCCTCTTTTAAGGCCTCAGCTGTAGGATTCACTTTCTCGACATTCTACTGGTTGAACGAACCATATGTCCCTCTAGAATTCATGGGATGGATATAAAGACTCTAGCACAGTGTTCAAGCAGGAAACAGGCTCATCTGATTAGCTATTCATTTCTCCATGCCTTTCAACCTGGGTTTCCCCAAAAACATCTGGAGCTGGAAAAAGAGGCAAGACATACAAAAGCAGAAAAGGCTTACGCACAGAGGTCAAACAGTGGTGGGGTAGCACACCCTGAAAACTCCTATATTGTCAGGGCCTTGCTGAGTGAGAGGGTGGGAAGCTTAGGATTGCTGGCACAAGGCTATCCCATCCTGACTGGCGTTGGCTGTGCTGGCAGAGTCAATCAGAAGAGAAGACACTAGTGTGAGGAGGTGGGGATAGGCAGCCAAACAGGACAGAAATCCTTTCTTTCAGGTTACATAGGAATATATCCACAATCTTGATCCTAATGCTTCTGCTTGCTTCCTTATTTGCTATTTATTATCTTATGTGTCATACATACATGCAAGTACTTGCAGAGGCCAGAAAAGGGTATCAGATCCTTTGGAACTGGTGTTATAGGCAGATGTGAACCATCTAACCTGGGTGCTGGGAGCCAAACCTGAGTCCTCTGTTGCGGGATATTTGATGGCACTGTGTGAAAGACACCTTCTGATTGTTTTAATAAAGAGCTGAATGGCCAATAGCTTGGCAGGAGAGGGTAGGAGAAACTTCTGGAGAGAGAAACTCTGGAAGGGATCTGAGGCATGGAGAATTTGCCAGCGGACATGGGGAAGTTGAATGTCCAGTATGAGGAGAGGTAATGAACCGTGTGGCAGAGCATAGATCAATATAAATGGGTTAATGTAAATTATAAGACCTAGTTGGGAACAAGCCTAAGCTAAACCCAAGCTTTTATAATTATTAAGAAGTCTCCATGTCATTATTTGGGAGCTGGTGATCCAAAGAAAGTCTGACTACAGTCCTCTGAAAGAGCAGCAAGGGCTTGTAACCCCTGAGTCATCTCTGCAGGCCCTATTCAAGCACTTTTTTTATTAAGGGATTAAGTTTTTATTTTATTTTAAGATTTATTTTTATTTTATGTGTATGAGTGTTTGTTTACATGTAAATATATATATACCATGTGTGTCCCTGGTGCCCAGGGAGGCCAAAAGAGAGCACTGGATCCTCTGGAACTGGAGTTATAGAGATCTGTCTGCCACTATGTGGGTACTGATAACTGATCCCAGGTCCTCTGCAAGAGCAGCAAGTATGCTTAACCACTGAGCCATATCGCCAGGCCCTACTCAGGTTTCATTTTTTTTGAAGCCTCTGAAATTTTGCAGTAGCTTCCTGATTGTAAGAGGTTATGACTATCTCCAGTGTGCCGCGTGTCGGTAAGCTTTTCAAGTCCATCATGGCACCCAACACAGGGCAGGACTACAGTTTAAATATTGGAAATGAAAGGAGGGGGATGATTATGAACTTATTAATAGGCAGAGCTGGATGGAAGCAGGGTGTACCACAGGAGCCCTATCCCATCTACACACTCAGTGCTCTACTGCAGTGAACATGGAGAAAACCAGAAGGACAGGTGTTTTAGACTATGTGAGCAATAGCTTGAGATTTAGAGAGTTTCTCACCAGGAAATGTTTGGTGTTCTTAGGCGGTTGGTGTTCTTTTCCAGTGTCTATGGTGCGCTCATTCCTGGAGGATTATGAGTATAGAAATAATCTTCCTCACCAGCCATTTGGTGCTTCTTCTTCCTCCTTCTCCTCCTCCTTTTCCCAGCAAATAGAAATCATGTAATTTCTGCCTCTGACCGTTAAGTCTACAGTTAGCACTAGACAAACCAAACCCATAGTGTTCTCTCACAAGCCCTCTTTCGAAGCCAGTTTCCCCCATTGGCAATGACCTGACAAGAGTTGGCCTCGCCGCCTTAATGGACCCCAAAGGGAACATTATCTTGACTAATTACATGACGGCATGTGGCGAGTTCGGGGACTGTATAGCATCTCATGGTTTTGAAATGTGTGGTTAAAGACATCTAGAGTTGACAGACTATTGGGGATTTGTCAAGAGTATTAATTACAGACTTGGAAATCTAGTCAGTTGCAGTCTGTCTTGTCGCATCTTGAAATGTGATCAAAGTCTTTTCAGTCCTTATTTCATGGTGCCTAACCACAGTGCGTGAAGAACAAAGCTTTTCATTAGAAATCACAGGTACAATAGGGCACATTTTTAAGGAAGAGGGCCTGAATGTGCCCTCCCCGCCACACTTCTTTCCCCTCTCCCCCTTTCATTTGGGAGTCACTATAGTTTCTGAACGCCTGAGATGGTTTTGGAGGGGTGTTGCAGAAAAAAATCAGTACTAAAATATGGGCAGCACACAAGGACAAGGGCGGGGCCCATAAAAGTGGTTTTTAAAACCATGAAAATAAACTATGAAGCCTGGAGGTTGTTGTGATTTAGTCAAAGAAATGTATAGCTAGCTTTATGAAGACTTGAAAAAAATGTCAGAGTTGTAGTATGTAGCTACTTTGGGGAAAGAAAAACAGGCCTCTGCCCTTGTTCAGACCTAGAAAAATAATCCTTTATTTTCTCTGCCTTGGATGTGGTGTGTGTGTGTGTGTGTGTGTGTGTGTGTGTGTGTGTGTGTTGGCATTCAAATCACAGAAAATGAAATAGAAACAGCCAGCCAGTGCAACTTCTCCAAAGCTCTAGCCTGCCACAGCCCCTCCTTTCTGGGAAGTCTATCGGGATGTACCTACCGTGGCTAGCAGAGTGCGGACCGCTAGTCCGTTTACCACTGTTGGAGAGCACGGAAAGTGATGGGCGGCGCTTAGCCTTGGCTTGCTTGGTGGTCCATCCAGTCTTGGGGACCCTCGCTCCCTGCCTTTCAGGCTCTCTTGGCACCTTCTGCCGCTCCATCTTTTCAGAGACTCTTCTTGTCAATTGCCTCTACGCGCCAGAGGGTGGCACTCCAGAGGTGGAGAAGAAGGGCGGGAAGAAGAAAAGGGAGCTAAGAGGAGGCAGTGTTAATTCTCAGACTTTGGTCTCTTAGTTACCAAGATAATCTTGGGAAAGAGCTCCAACCCATAAACCCTTAGCAGAAAAACCTAGATTTCGGCAGGACCTGGGGGTCAGAGACTTAGAAATTTTAAAGAAGATACAGGTTTATTTGAAACAATAACTTCCTGTGTTGTGGAGAATTTCAGCCCTTGTGAGTGATTGGGGGCGGATGGAAAGTCCTCCGTGAGCGCGCCCACATCCGACCTGTCCCTTTGTGTTGTGTTTTGCAGTTGCTGGATTTGTGCGAGTCCGTGAAGGATGACGCCCTGAAGGTGATCTCTGCCTTTAACATTCCACACACCAACCTCCATGCACCAATCGCAGGAATTCCCAACCCCCGGGCTGCCTGGGCCTTCTACCCCGCGCCTACGCCAACGCTGGTGCGGGAAGGGGCGCGCTCCCAGCTGTCCAAACTGTGAGCCAGACTATTAACCAGCAGGGCAAGAAATGTAGTGGCCCGTCCGCAGCTTGCCATGGAGTTCCCTTCAAATACTCCCAGAGTAGGAGCAGGGGCCAAAGTGACAGGTGCACGACCACCATACTCGGGGGTTTTGGGTCACGCAGAGGAGGAGATCTGGCTAAGGTTGACAAGGCTCAGGACAGGTTATGGGGAGGAGGACGGGGGGGAGGGGCGGGAGAAGGAGACTAGATGGAAACCCGGGGAGTACAGTGATTTATCCTGGTCTGTTAACCTCTCCTGGCCCTTGCCTTGACCTCTCCCAGCCGCTGCGCTGGATCCTCAGACGATTCGGTGGTCTTGCCCAGAGCCTGATGCCACCAAAGACCTTTGCTGTCATCAGTGACTCAGATTCCAAGTGACTTCGAAAAACTCTGGTGCTGGGGGAAAAAATCAAAACATAAAAATCAAACACCCTCGGGCAAAAGAGGCGGAGGAAAGCTCCCAAGTGCGGGCAAAAGTTCAACAAGGGGTGCTTAGTGAATCAGACTTGCTTCAAGCTCTGCTAGAAAACGGGCTGGCGAGAGAGAGGGGAGCGTGATCCTGGAGTCGAGCTGGTCCCACCAGGTAGGCGATCTCCGGACCGCAGGACGACGCGCGACAAACGTTTCATAGCACTACACTATAATCTGCCCTTTAGAAAAGCGTAGACGCGAGGTTTAATAAGTTAAGCGATAGAAAAATGCTCCCGCAGCTTGGAGGGGTAGGGGACGCGGGCCTGGGGAATCGCTGCAATAAACTGGTTTTGGAATTTGGAGAGATTGCACAGGCGGAAATGAATTTCTCATTTATGTCCTGACTTTGGCGTTGCCCGGTTTCACTCTTAACTCTAGCTATCGTCTCTCTTCCTTCTCTCTATATCGCGTTGCCAGCCTCGGGAAGGCACGGGTGACCCACTAGCCCTTCCCACGTTGCTCTTCTCTGCCAGCAAATTGATCCCAGGAGTTCTTCTGACACTGCGGGGGGGGGGGAGGCTACAAGGGCCCAAGGGCTCGCAGCCACCTGTCGTGAGGCATTTGGTGGAAGCTCGCTAAACTGCCATATTCTCCGGTGATGCAAAGAGCCTCCACTTCCAGACCATCTCCCTGATTAAGTCCTAAATAAGAGCACATAGCCCAGTCTGTTGCTTTCCCCAGTGCCTGTATGGTTTCTTTTAGCGTGCCCAGAGTTGCAAAATCGGTAGACTCCTGGGTAGCCTGCTCCTACAAAGAGAAGGGGCGATAAAGACTTTCTTTTTTCTTGTGTGGTTCTTTTCTAGCCCGATTTGGAGGTGCCGGCTCCCGGCCAAGAGCGCGGAGCAGGCAGACTTGTTATTGGCCGAGGACTCTAGGAGCAGTAGCAGACCGGGTTGCATGGGTGGGATGCGGAGTGGACAACGCACAGCGCTAACTCGCAGCCTTGGTCAGGATAGAACTGGATCTGCCGCTGCTTGGCTGCATCCACGCCAATGCCCTGTGCGCTCTTGTAGCGAACACCCCTCACCCACAGAAGGGACATGGCTTTGCCGTGAGTCCCCCAGCTCCCCTGGGAACCAGTGGCTTCTTTGATCTCTCTCAGGATTCACCTGAGAACCAAGACTTTAACCCAGGGCTGTGCTGTGTCACGCTGACGTTAGAACCGCCTATAAACACCGAAATGACCAAGATGGTTCGAAGTTGGGACGATAGATCGCGTCACTTGTTCATGAAAAGGTCACTTCCTTCTCTCTGCCAGCCTGGATGCAGGCTGGGTAGTCCTTAAATCGAGTTTCTTTAATCTTCACACTTAGGATGCCGGATGTTCCATTTCCAGAACAACTTCTCCAGGTGTCCGCGGTGAGAGAGTGAAAGGGGTTGGGGGTGGGGTGTGTGGCACCATTGACTTCAAGACTTCGACTGGGTACACGAAGGCCTCAGGAGGATCAGGGGATTTTTCGACTCCCATATGGCTTTGCCAGCACAACCCGAAATCTGCTGCTCCGTCCGCAGTCGCCAGCTTCAGCCGGCTGATGGACAATTCTTGGCGGTAGTCTGAGCCCCCAAAATTTAAAGACATAACGCACGGCACAACCGTCTTTCCTCAGTAGACCATCCCCATTTTTCCTTATAGTTATCCTTTTATAGTTTCTTTCTCATTCCCTATTTTATATGCTTGTCGTGCACGCCTATTGCGACCCGAAGCTGAGCTGTAGACCTAGGATCTCCCTGACTTTTCTCAACTGTCCTTCCTACCTCTTAAGAAACTGGGCACTGGGGAAAACAACAACAGCAACAACAACACACACACCACTCACGACCAGGGAGAACCTAAATGGCGACGCAAGACAGTGGTGTTGAAGAGTCCTGCATTGAGGCACAGCTGAGGAGGGGTGAACATTTTGCTAATTTGGGTTCCCCGGAGGCCATAAATTTTTGGAGAGGACAGTCAAAGGCTAGTGCCCATTCTTGCACCAACCCAGGCCCCATGGTTTGGGGCTGAGAAGCTCCGCAAAGCAAGCGCGCAGGGACTCGTTCTCAGACTTCCCACTGGTGCCCGAGGCAGGCTGGACACAGCAGTGTGCCCTGAGCGCCCCCTAAGTTCCGCTCTGCGAGGTGGCCGCTCCCGGCGGACAGGGAGGGGCAGAGAGGGGCGGGTACGTTTGGGGTGGAGGAAGGGCTTGCAAGCAGCTGCCCGCAGGCCAAGTCACTAGGGTAAACACGCTGGGGTGGGCGGAGCGCGCGCGCGGCGGGGCTACCCTCGCCAGTACCTGTCGCAGCCTGCACGCGCCAGCGGCCAGGGGGGCCGCGGGAGTGGGGTGGGGCTTGCTTTCCGGCTGAGTGAGGGCTGGACCGAGCGGGGGCGGAGCCCGCGGTGATTGGGCACAGGAGCGGGGGCCCAGTAGGAGCAGAGTCACTGGGCCAGGCTGGTTTCACTTCGCTCCCTGCAGGCACTGGGTCACCAGCTGGTTGGAGCTCTGCGGTCCTTGCCGCCGTCGCCGTCACCGGATTCCTGCAGCCGCTCTGCGAACCGTGCCCCACTTAAATCTGCCCAACCTCTGCTGCTCCCCCGCCGCCACCGCCTCGGCGCCCTTCCCCTGGCCCTCATCCCCCCAATGTCTGACTCTGATTCTCGGACTGAGAAACGCAAGGTAAACTCTCCGCGATTCGCGATTTTCGGGGCGCAGGCCGGGGACGGATGGAAGAGAGGCGCCTCACCCGCAGAGAGTCTCTGGTGTCGCACGTGCGGGCGGAGGCGCTGGTTTGTCCCGCTTGGCGCGCGGCTGCAGGAGGCGAATGCGGCAAAGTCCGGCCTCGGTTCCTGCCTAGCAGGGCATTTCTGGGAAAAGGTCGTAGGCACAGAAGCTGCGGGTATTTAGCCGAAGTCTGGCTTGGGTCGGGATGCCGCACGAAGGGTTGTTGAGGCATCTTTCGCGGGCCGGGAGGGCGCGTAGACTCGGCTTGGAGGCGAGGATCCGCCGACTGCGCGTCCAGCCGGGAAGCGTCGCCGCGAGCCAGGCAGCCCGGGAGAAGTAGCCGCGCGTTAGCCACGGGCCGGTAGACTTGGCTCTTCGCTGGCGCTGCTTCATTGCGGAGGTTTATTAAAATCACACGCGCCCTGACTTTGCTTGTATTCATTCAAGCCACGGTTTGGCCACAGTGCCCGATTTTGTTGCACAGATGTCCCCGTCGGCCCGGTTCAGTTTGCGAGCGTCCTGTGGACGCCGAGGGCCACAGTATCTACAGGAGCCGAGAGATCGCGTAGGCGTCCCAGGACCACTTAGGGCACGCGAGTTCCGAGCCACGGGCAGCTGACTAACCGATCGGCTCTATGAAGCGGGATCGCAGCGGGACCCAGTCGCATAGGCTGGTGGCTCTGTGATCTCCCGGGCCTATGGCCCCTAGGCAGGCACTGCTTGTGAAAGGCTAACTGGACCCTGGGGGCCGGGGGTTTGGAGGTACATGCCCGAGAGACCCGAGATGGTCGTTCATATATGGTGCGTGTCGGTGACACATGGGGCACAACAGGTGAAGTTGCAGAGAAGTTCAGCTCGGGACAGCGAAGGCCATTACGGTCTTTGCCCCGAGTGGCCTGGAATGGGATCCTGGTCCTGCGGATCCCAGGAGGGCGCGGGTCCCGCTTTGTCTCTAGAGTCCCGCTGCCCAGGCGGCGGGAACTCCCGCAGGGCGCGCGGCGTCCGGACCGGGCCCAGGGGCGGGGCGGGGCGCGGAGCGAATCAGCCCGGCCCCCTAAGTCCTAGCCGGAGCCGCGGCGGCCGGCACAGCCTGAGTGGCGCTGGGCGGCGAGTTTGTCAACAATCGCCGCGCCTTCGGCTGCCTGACCCGTAGGCGCCGCCCCCGCCGCCTCTGCCCATTGGCTACGATGGGGAGCCACCGAGCGCGGGCCAATGGGGAGCATTGGCAGCCGGCGCCAGCGGCGCGGGGCTGGCGGTGCCCGAGCGGCGGCCGGAGCTGCGCGCGAGGGGCGGAGCGGGAGGAGGCGGAGGATGATCCCGGCGGCGGCCGGTGCAGCGCGGGCCAGAGGCGCGGCGCGCGAAACCTTAGGCTCCCCAGCGGAGCGTGGCGGCGGGCGGACGGGCAGGCGCGGGACTCTGGAGCCCACGGCTCGGCATTGTTTTCCTTGCCTTCTCGGTGGCGACGCTCAGGGGTCGTCTGATCGGCGCTGGACACCGCGCTCGGAAGGGAAGGGGAGGACGTGAGTTTGCGAGGTGGCTCTGGGAGTTAAAGAGTCTACGGGGTGGAAGCAGCCGCGCGCCGGCTATTGCCGAGCGCGCGCAGCTAGATGTGGAACTTGCAAGGGGATGGCTCTGATGGCCCCCATTTGGAAGTGGACACATTCCGGCAAGGTTGCTCCCGAGAGAAATGGTTTCGTGTTTGGGGTGGCGCGCAGGGGGCTGGCAGCAGGAGGGACCTTGCGGCCGAGGGCGCTCGACCCGGGCGGAGCTGCGCTCGGAGTTACAAACTCTATTGTGACGCACTTACTACGACTGACGGCCGCTGCCAAACCTTCTTCAGACTTGCTGCCCTC